GCCAGGCGAAAATTATTCACAAAATTCGAACGTCGCTTACACCTGTCCAAGTTTCACTTCTGCGAAGAATTGACTCTTGTGACGTCACAACATCTTAATCCCACTACTGCTCATGCGCATCTTTCTGTGCAAGGAGGGTGCGCTGGTAAATCGAAGCTAAAGGGGTTTTCGTGCTCAAATTAGTTCTCTGGCATCGATGTGGAGGGAGCGATTTACATCTTTTCTTCGCTTACGTCTTACTCATATGTGATCTGTCAACGCGTATCTTATGTACGCTTGAATTTTCCGAGGGAATTTGAAAGGACTTCCCTTGCCCCTGGGAGATCGAGTTGTGTACAGTGAATTTTTATCCTGCTGTCCAATTACCATTTCGTTTCAAAAGGCGTTTGCGATTACAGAAGGACTTTCTCTTCATGATAGCTGCTGTTCGATTCTATCATGGAGAACTGTGACTCGAAAAAAGCGGGAACCCGGTAAGTGAGCTAAAAATCTGTAGTTATCAACAGGACAAGGTCTGCTTACATGTATTTTGCTTGTGTCTTCACACTCGGTATCTTTGTATCTGCAATGTTTCATGCAAATTATCCCAAATACAGCTTGACCCTATGTTTTGTTTAAAGTGCATGTTCCTCAAAGTTTACTGGAGAAAGTCGTCAAAATTTGGATTATTTCACTGGGTGTTGAAATCATAAATTATAAATTGTCAAAATTATAGATTTTTACTAGTGTGATTTTTGTCGGTTCATTATTTTTTGCAGTGTTTTTAAGAAAACTTCGCCGAATGGAAAGGTGAGCACCTTAAACTTATATTTTCATTTTCTTTGTGTAATGAAACGCGATTATTGTAAACAGTATGAAAAATCAAAGACAATATTTTCCTTGCTGTATTTAAAATTAAAGTTAGTTTGAACGATGGCCATTATTTATCATGTTCAGCTTCGTTAAGAACGCTATTATCCTTGGTTTGAATATTCATCAGCTCACGGTTATGTCTGAAATAAATGCGGAATGAACGATGGGCATTTTGTGGCAAAAACAGAGAACTCTCAACTGGGATATGCACGAGACATGCACTGAAACTTGATCGAGTTTTGTTGTGTCAAATTTTCGTTCAGTGGAGTCAAACTTTGAAATTTTAATGTTGCAATACGGTAAGCTTAGAGACGGAAGGGTTTTACATCGGTCAACAAGTCTTCTAAACCTCTTAGTTCTTTTGGCTTATAAATTAGTGTATACATGTTCTAAAATAGGAGTAAACTTTATTAAATACGTTAAGATGCCAAGATTTAAAAATACGATGTATTTCCCTATTTTACATAGTAGATTTTATAATACTTGTTAAATTTATTAAGCTTAATTAAGACTTTTGCACATTTAGGTATTATTTGTTCTGAAATATACATTCACTGTTGTGCATTTTAAAGATTTCTTATTTAAAGAAATGTCATTAGAAAAAGATGTCAAATTATTGATTTTAGCCAATCAGGTGCTAGCAGTCACAGGACAATATTTACCAAGCAGCTGTGCACGGGTTTCAGCAACTTGACAGCCTAATTAAAAGAACTGTTTAATTTGACTGATTTTGTTAGTAATGTTTTGACCAGATTTGGACGAACTACAGCCCACATGGAGATTTCTATTGTTGTTTTAGTTGCTGGCAGAAAAGAGATATGCATAGCAGCATTGCTAATCTTGTTGAGCACAGTTTTCCCTTTTAAAAGTTTTGAAAATTACATTTAGATCATGACACATGGACTCAACTTTTTTCCATGTGCCAATTTTGTGTCTAGTGCATTCATTATCTTTGTGTAGCTCCCGTTCAAGCCTGAAGGGGTTTTAGTTTGGCATTAAAAACATTCATACATATTCAGTACTCTTATTGTCCGATTGAATGCACAGATTTTCTCATGTGCAAGATCCTGTCTCTCATGGGCCTGATAAAATTCAAGGGAGGGATTTGAATCCAGCCTCAGAAAAATGGATTTAAATTATTGAAGCAGTTAAATGCTGATTAGGATGAGCATTTTGTTTTAGGAATACTACTGAAGATGAAATTTTATATAAAATAGACAATGTATCCTAATTTGCAAGTTGATGAAAAATTAAAAAAAATAAACAAAGAAATCTACAGGAGTTAAAAAAGATTTTCAGCCTAAACAAGCCAATTCCCATTACGTTGCATTGGAGTTAGATTTAGTGACCCTCTACCTGAGCAGATTAATTCCTCTTGTATTGTTGTTGATAGTGGAAATTATTTTCTTTTGCACAGTGGATTCTTGAAGGCAATTAGATGCTTAAATTGTGTTCTTTAGTTTCACAATATTATTTGTGTTTGCATTACTACACTGTATAATGGTTAACAATTATTCCACGAGGGCACGTTGGATATGAGAGGGTAGATAGCCAACGTGGCGCGTAGCGCCGCGTTGGCTATAAAGATCTCATATCCAACAAGGATATGAATGTTTTATTAACCCTTTAAGTCCCGATAGTGACCAACATCAATTTTCTCCTAACAATATCCATATGTTGCCAAGAGAAATGATCATGAGAGTTAATAAAATGATCACCAAAAAAAATGCTTTGATCTGTTATCAAACTCTCTCAACTATTTTTTTAAGGAAATGTATGAAGGTCAGTATGGAGAATTTATATGTGGATATCGGGGCTTAAAGGGTTAAGTATGCCCACAAATTTTGTGAATTCTTCCTGACTTTATTAAAAAACAACCGACTTTTATCTTGTTTTTCATTTTGAGCAGACGCGTACAGTTTCCATTTTTGGAGAGCATGGTACAATGGCTCATATACCATGATTGGCTAAGCCAATCAGAGCTCTTATAAATTGCATTATCCAGTGATTCAGACTTTAATAATTATTATCATTTGAAGCAAATTTTTCTTTCTTTTCATTGGCCGAGAGCCTAACAAGTGACCTGCAAATAACTGCCTGCAAAATTAATAATGGTCTGCTCATGTGCAGTGCCGTCCAACTGTGTTTGGCTGCAAATAATATTCTGCACGTGCGTAAAGGAAACTGTGCTTTTTTCCTTCTTGCAATCGCTCTGGCATGAAAATGGCAGTGCGCTTCGCTTCCGAGGATATTCATTTAAAAAAATAAACTCTGTGATCGAATGATAAAACAATAAACTATTGAACTTGGTTATCGCAAAATATTGGGATTTGTCAGTGTCTCGCAGATCAATTATTTGCCTCAGCCTTCGCCTTTGGCAAATCATTGATCTGCTCGCCACAGAAAAAAAACGATATTTTGCTCAACCTTGTCCAATAAATTGTTAATTATAGGTGTATCAAACAACCTTTGTTATTTACATGTATATGTAGTACTATAGAAAATGAATATTCTCAAAAAAGTGTTAGAATTTGTTCTAAACGTTCATAGCACGTATTTTATGCTTTGCCTTCAAGTTTCTTAACCTTGATAAAATGCATGTACTACGTGAACGTGTACAGCCTACATATATATGCTGTTCATGTTTTGAAGACAGTTATTACATCACTTGATTTTGAACCTTAAGTATAATATGGCTTAAAAATGTGCTTTACATAATGTATCTGAGTGTCAGTGTAATAGCATGAAAGTACTATAGAACAAGTTTACTGTATTAGTACAGAGAAAGTCCCTCTCTGTAACTATTCTTGGAGAAGCATTTCTGGTTCCATTTTTGAACAAACCGGCTACCAGATCAGTAAAGTATTATCCTGATTTTGAGGGACTTAATTGTGCAATTTCAAAATGGGTGTAATACACTGGTAATTGAAGTTTGTATTGCGCACTTTTGGATGGTGTAGATTACAAAGTTGTACTGAGTTTAATCGAGGGTGGTATTTAATCGAGTCATTACTGTATACATGAATGGGAACTCTCCTTTTAGGCTTTCCAATATAAATAAAATATATGTGTTATTGACCTAGCGTGGGGTCAAGGTGGCTGGATTTTGGCCAAGTTCTTTTTTGCATTTTTATTGACCAAGACAAACTCGAGGTCAATAAAAACGCACACAAAAAAACAAGGCCAATATACAGCCATCTTGACCTTGCAAGCTTGCTTAATAAGGGACTTATTATATGGCCGAAAAGAGAACTTCTATTTGCGGAACCAATGCAGGAAATCCTGAACTGGCAAGATGAGCCTCTTGCCCGCTTAGGTAGCCAATCAAAATGCAAAATTTGCTTCATCTTGTCTGCCTGCTGGTTCAGCCATGCATGTATTATTAGAATGCATATCTTAGGGGAACAATGTTAGTCACTTTAACCCTTTAAGCCCCAATATCCACATACAAATTCTCCAGACTGATCTCCATACATTTCCGTAAAGAATTAGTCGAGAGAATTTGATAAAAGATCAAAGATTTTTCTCTTTGTGATCATTTTATTAATTCTCCTAGACTTTGCTCTTGACATTGTATGGATATCATTAGGAGAAAATTGATGTTGGTCACTATTAGGACTTAAAGGGTTAAGGAAAGACATTGTTTGCTCATACTAAAACAACTTACGTGTACCTTACTTTGAGAGATTAAAGAAATTTATCTGTGTATGAACTGATTTCAACAGATTACAACCTACCTGGGAAAACGTGATTTTGTGGATCATCTTGAACACATTGATCCTGTGGGTAAGTTTTCTTTGTTACTGATTTTGTCACACTGAATTATTACAACAATCCCTTAAGGTTGTATGAGACACCCTGGACTCATGCATAAAGTGCAACAAGTGGACATTGACAGCTTTATGAGAAATTCATGACTGGAAAAAAAATTTGACTTTTCCAACAATTTTGTGTCCAAGAATTCAGTGAAGATGGAGAACTTCAGGAGCTGAGTCTGCAGAGTGGAAAACTTGGTTGACTGTAGTGTGTCAGGAAAAGAGCAGAATTTTAAAAGGGCACTTGTAGATAGGACATAAAGCATTACTTTCAGAGATGACAGATTTTGCTTATTTAAATGATTATAATTATCTTAGTAGCATAGTGGCATAGTGGTTGGCATTTTGGTTTTCCCCTCTCCTTAAAACCAACAGTACTCTGCCGCTCATAAGCCGTGGTCTTATAAATCTTCGTAAAATTTTTTTGGTTTTCTTTTATGTAACTTCAACTCTATGCATAAGCTTTTTACCAGCCTAATAGCAAGCATGGCTAATTTCAGACGCTACTAGATTGCAAGCCCCACATAATTGAACGATTTGCTTTACAACAATAAATTTTCAATGTTTTTTAAGCTTTTGTATTTGCACTTTTATGTCATAGATGGTGTTGTGTTAATAGATCCTGATTTTGTTAAGGATGGAAAAAAAGGTTTGTAAGGAATATTCTTGGTGAATTTTTTTCTGTAAAACTCCTGCAGAACCTTTGACAAAGTTTATAAATCTGTTGTGAAAGTGAGGATTTTTTAAAGCTACAGGTGATCTTAGGACACCTGTTAGTGTAACACCATCCACACAAATTATACCAGAGTTTTAAAGCAGAGCTCTACACACGCACTTCACAGAGCCCCATAGCTAATAAAATTTGGTTATCTATCCATCAAAGAAATTTTGGTAGTCACATGACAATACATCTGCTGGCCAGACTGTCCATCCACACTTCGTGAAGTAATAAATGTTTTTCCTTTTGTGTTACAGTATTTGCTCATGTTCTGGCAGCATTTAGGTAAGACAAAATAATATTCAAATAGCAACCTATTATAGTTAGCTTTATGGTTAAGCTTGAGCCTTTGGAAATTTATGGAATCTGAAGAGCTTAAAAGAGTATGAACCCAGTGAAAAGCCGTACAAATATATGTATGTGCAGTACCATGCAGTATATCCATTACCACTGTTTACATACATGTGTACATGTATGCCTGGATGTGACTGGCTGTATGGTATGACTGTACATGTTTAAGGTACTGGCCATACCATGGAGATGTGTTGAGTGATCATTACTTTAATTTGGCTGACAGCAAGTTTCTTTGTTGTTGTTGTTTTTTTACAGATATGGACGAGAAGATTTGGATGTGCTTGGTCTTCAATTCAGAAAGGACCTTTTTCTGGTACATATGCATCCTTACTAATAATTATTGATAATGCCTTCACTTTCAGTGTCATTGTTCTTAAGCGAGAGGGGGTGAATGCTTAATAATGAATGTCATAGTGTTTTAACTTATCAGCCCATCTGGTTATACAGTCATGTTTCTGCTGCAGTAGAAAAAAAATAGATACATCTAAACATACAAAAACTACTATTTGGGGGGGGGGGGGATGGGGATGTTATTATCAGTGACTTATTGACCTGCTTGTGTTACTATGACAACACTTTTCTTTCCAGTCAGCGGTCAAGATTTTGCATCCATACATAAAAAATTCCGGTTAAAAAAGGACCTAAACAATGGCTTTTCTTTTTCCTTCTTTTTTTTTTTCACTTCTTTTAATATCTTGAAATAAAATACTGTTTTACATAAGTACGCGGTATGTTTTCATATACATTGTAATAACCAGATTAAAACATGTCATGGAAACTTGGAGATATGGAATTTATCTTCCTGTGTTCAAATCTACCGTAAAATTCCAAAAGTAAGCCCCGGGGCTTATATTTTTCAAAGGTCCTTTTTGAGGGGCTTATTTTTGGAGGGGCTTATATTCAGAGGGGCTCATCTATGAAGGGAAATTTACGACTCAAAATCGATTGGGCTAGCGTTATAGTTGGAAGTAAATTTACCGTTTTTACTTTGCTTTACATTGTATTTGAGGACAATTTTCCAATTACAAGCCCTGGGGGGCTAATATTTGGAGGGGTTTATACATGGAGGGGCTTATTTCGGAATTTTACGGTATACTCATTTGTTTGCTGTGCTCACTTATGAGATATCAATTTGACAAAGGAAGATACAATGTTAATTTCATATCTCTACCCATGCTTGTATTATTCTCTCTGTTTGATGTCAGTGGGGTTGTTTAGCTAGTAGCTTATTATTATTAACTTATGGATAGGATGATTAATACAGCTGTATGATATTACTTTGGCAGCTTATCTTCCTGATATAAAGGTTTGTCAAAACTGTCCAATCTTACTGTACAGTGCAGTTTAAAATGCACCAATCAATAACTTGTTGCTTTTAATGTCACATACTCTGTTTATATCTTCACCTGGTGAAGACCAGTGGTAAGACAGGGCTGTCAGTAGGTTTTGAAGCAGCCAGAGCAAGATTCACCCGTAACATCTCAAAAAAATTTATATTGTTATCTTTGGCTTTCCACTTTGATCACAAGAAACATCAAATAAATTCAGTTGTATCAGGTGTAATGGGTTATGGCCCTTAAGATGACTCTTGTAAGAGGCTGAAACCTTGCAATCAGTATCAAAACAAATCTAAGGTAAAGCTTAAACTCATTTTGTTTTCACAGGCCACTATGCAAGTTTATCCACCAAAACCAGAGGATGAAGTTCCCTTGACAAGACTTCAAGAAAGACTGCGTAAAAAGCTAGGGACTAATGCCTACCCATTCAAGTTTGAGGTTTGTTTAGACAGACGGAGAATTTGAGTAGTTTCTTTTGTATTTTAATGTGAACTTTACAACGCAGGCTTCAAGGGACTATCAAAAAGTCATTATTTTCGCTTGATAGTCTACTGCTGGTCAGTTTGTCTTCAAAGCTCATCAGACATGTTATGTCCCATCTTTTCGGCATGAAACCTAGTCAACAGTTAACTTTTCAATTTACCAATTTTTCCCGTAATTATTTCTGCAAAGTAATATTATATTAACGCAGTTAATCTAATCTGATTAGGAGTAAAACCGTGTATTTAGCACATAGTTACAGAAGTCCTAGGGAACAAATGTCTGTCAGTAAAACTATCAAGCAGCGATCCTCTATAGAGGGTCCTCTCACTTGATAAAGCTAACTGTACACGTATTTCAGCTATTATACTACTATATGAGAAATTTCGGCAATTTGATTGGCTTAGAGCAGTGGTATTTCACCTTAATTTGAAATACCTGCATGTGAAAATTACAAACCTTTTGCCGATAGTAGTATAAACAAATAATAGCATGATTTGTACGTGATATTTGGTATAAATACCAGTTGTGATATTTCAAAATTGTCTCAAATTTCACTCGTGTAAAATTTTGTATAACAATTTTGAAATATCACTCATGGTATTTTTCCCAAATATCACTACAAATCATGCTATTACTTATACATATTTACTCTAAAAAATTTATGACCATCAATTTTGTTTCCTAGTTGCCCAGAGGATCTCCTTCATCTGTAACACTCCAACCAGCACCAGGAGATACAGGCAAGGTACTGGAAACAGAGAAAAAACAAACGACAAACTTTTATTCATACATCTAGTTAAAAATTACCACAATTATTTTTCCACCCCCCAAGAAGAGAACAAATCAAGGTTGGGAGAGAAGAAAAAAGTGGGAATTTCAAATATCAAGCTAACTAATATTACAGCTTTAGCTGCAAAGGTAACATTGATTTAATGGGATTGTACTAGTTGGTGAAATCAGTATGTGTAAGGAAATTATTGGTAATAAAATAAAAAAGATTGTGCTGTTGTGGGAAATACACCTAAGCAACTGTATCTCTCCTCTCCTTGCTGATTAATGGATGCACAATTTTCAAGGAGTACAGGGCCTCAAGGATGTGTAACCATAATGAATAGTTTTTTCTTATTATACAGTCAAGATCCTACCACCCTTGAAAATCAAAAAAACCTCTGGCGTGTTTGTGACATGTTTTCTACTTATTTCTGAGAACTTTGATACATGTAGGTGTCATCAAAAAATGCAAAAACAACAAAAGTTGATGTGTAATTGTGTAATTTCAAAGGATTGAGAAAAAATAAAACATTTTAAATGCACAACTCCATCTTCAGTAAACTTTAATTTTGATCGCTCAGGAAAGACTCGATCAATATTCATACATGTGCAGTTGTCAAAGATTTGTGGAAAAACATGTCAAAAAACATTGTTAGCTGAAGCATTCATGGGACTGGGCAGGAACTTTGAATTGTACTTTGATATTGCTGCTTGACCTGTGTTTAACCCCCTGGTTGTTGTTTGTTAATTAAGTGATAGAATATGGGACTGGCAAAATATATTCACTATAAAGAGGTTTCCTTACATTAAGGTTCTTTTTCATACATTGTACTATTTCTGGGGCAAAGGATATTGTTTGTTGTCTAGAGGTTCGTTATAGAGGTTCCACTGTAATGGCATAATTTCAAAAGTTAAATCAATATCATTTGTGATCTCTCAGTTGAAGTGTATAAAATTACAAGGCCACTGAATCGTAGTCGGCAGTTACCGGCAGCGTGCCAACAAACTAACAATAAATGACTGTTTAACTGTGACGATAGACGGATTGAAAGGCACCAATGACATTACCAGTCTTCATAGCCACTTAATTGACCAATCAGATCAAAAACCAGAGTTTCATACCATCAACTGACGTGATACAACTCACTTTTACTCTGATGATGACTACCGCAGAGGTTGTTGAAATTCAGTGACTGTCAACAACAGTCCTATTCAGTTGTATGTTCACCCGGACGATCATACTCAAGGTATTTATATAAAATTACTCTTGTTTCTTGACAAGTGCACATATCCTGTGTATTTTCTTTTTGTGTCCTCCAGCCATGCGGAGTTGATTATGAACTTAAAACATATATCAGCGAGTCACCCGAAGAGAAGCCTCATAAAAGGTGACCACTTCTAAAATATTATTTTGCCAACTAAAATAATATTGAATCTTGTGATGCTTTAATATTAACAGACTTAATTGTGGACTTAATTTTTGTTGTTACTCTCTTTATAGGAACACAGTAAGGCTGGCAATTAGGAAAATCACATATGCACCAGAGCGTCCCTTACCCCAGGTTTGTATTGTACTTTATACTTGGGCGGAGCACCACGTAAAGGATTCACAATGCTTAGAAATGTCCCAAAGTTGCTTTTTTGGGGACAAGATTGGGCGCGCAAATTCCATGAGTTTTCGGTCTGAGTCGGTTATCTGACGAAATGAGAGCGGAATTTGTTTGAGACATCTCGAGATCACTTTGAGTTCTTTTATTTTTTTTTGAGGAAGAAATAATTGTTATTCTTAGCTCACCGCGGGTTTGAACCGACTCACCTACAAACCCGTCAGATCAGATGAGACTCTAAGTTGAAGGATTAGCCAATTGCGCCATTGCAACCCAAGGTAGTTTGTAAGGCGAAAAGTAGCTATAAAATCATGCACTATAGTCTTGGGACAAGATTGACATGTCACTTCTTGACTTTTTGGCTTGTTTCAGCGGTTTCATGAGTTGAGACCGGAATTACTTCGAGATATCTCGAGATCACTTCTAGTTCTTTTGGCCACAATGAATATTTTAATAATTCATTCGAGGAATAAAGAATTTGGCTTCCCTGGGGTTTGAACTGACTCATCTACAACCTAGTCTGCGACCCATCAGATCAGATGCTAAGTTGACAGATTAGCCGATTGCACCACTGCAACCTAATGTGATTTGTCAAGTGAAAATTAGCTATCATATCACTGTAAAATGGTCTATTGAGTGGTATCCCGCCTGGATGAACCAAGTAAGCACGGATTTAACCAGATATAAACACACACATGGATTGAGCCAAGACACGCTTTTAATGGCCACCAACTAACTCCTGTCTTACAATCTACTGCGCATACCATAATGGCCGCGATACTGCGGTAATACACTACGTATTGGAGGAAGTAAATGTGGATTACAAAGTGTTGGACTTGAAAAGTAGCTTCTTTAACAGTGCCGGATCGAGACCTTGAGATAAGGGGGGCCCCCAGTCATCCAGACCCTTTGATGGGGGGGGGGGGGCAGTCTCCAAAAAATTTTTTTTTGCCCTTCGGGCCTCAGTTTGGTCTAAAAATAAGGAGAGCCCCAGGCCGGGCCCCTCCCCTATATCTGTCACTGTAAACCCTGTCTGCCCAATTAAATAAATTATAGTACTTTGCAAACATTTTGCCAAAAAGGTTTCATTTGAATGGTGCATATGTAACAGATGTGCATGTAACAGATTAAAAAGTTAGGGTGGCAAGTAATCTTGCCACAACTTGGTCAAAGTGAAAGTGCAAGTTAGAGGATCTTTTGTAACTTGTGGTCTCACAAGAGTGCACATGATTTGCTACTCAGCAGTTTTACTTAGCTAACTAGACGGCATGTTTTACAGCAGAGCATTTTGAGGAAACTTTTAAACTGACCAAATAATTATTATTCTGAATTTGTTAAACAGCCCAGGGCTGAAACAGATAAAGAGTTTATGTTGAGTTTGCATAAGCTCCACATTGAGGCATCTCTGGACAAAGAGGTAAACAGAAGCATTGTTTTGTGTTAGTTTTTGTGTGCATTAATTGCAAAGCCTTCTCCCAGCCACTGTGTGAGTATTAGAACAACCAAGCACTTTGTAAGCCAACACCATCATTCATGTCTGGGTCTTTGTACTGAATATAATTTAAGGTTTGTTTATAGTGGAAAGTGCACTTAGCTTATCCACCTAGTTTACAGGCACTCCACTCAGTTACATAGAAACATATAATTCAAATACAACATAACAGGATTAAAAACCCCAACTGGCGGAAGGCAACCAGTTGACTAATATTTGACAAGTGTGGCACAGGATCTGAACTCAGGATGACAGAGAACAAATCCAGCAAGTCGCCGGAGTGGGTCTCGAGCCTGTGACTGCTGCATTGTGAGTCCGACGCGCTAATCACTCAGCCACACTGCCTCAAATTTTTGGCATGGTCCATGTTCAGTCAACCCTTCCTAAGCTAAAACAGCTGGCACATGAATAGTTAGGGCTAGGAGACAAAGGGAAATTGTGAATCAACGTATCTTAAAAAATTTTAACCTGAATTTAATTTTGACCTGTAACATATACGTCTAAATGGGCCTGAGAAATGCCCGTAGAGAGTTGAAGAAAGTGACTGAAGAACAGCAGGAACCAACTCTAGTGGTCGTTTTTTGAAGGACTGTCCATTAGTAGAGAATTAATTCTACTTGTATATTTTTCTCTAACTCTTGATAATTCACGGTACATGTACCATCAACAGATGTATTATCATGGGGAGGAAATTGGAGTAAATGTACATATTGCAAATAGCTCATCCAAGACATGCAAGAAAATAAAAGTTACAAGTAAGTGAAGGCTATTTTCTCAACTTGATTTATATATTTAAAGGACCAATTAATGCCTGGTTAATCTTGAATTAAAGATATGCTGTCAAGGCCTTCTTTAAGAAACATTTTTGAAAGCAAATCCCACGAAATGCAAGGTGCCCAGAAGGTTCAATTTTTGTGCAAAAACATTGAGATTTCCATGTTGTGAAAGAGCAATTAAGTTGCACGAGGCCATCAGGGATGGCTAGAGTACAGCTCTGAATGTTGTCTGAGACTAGAGCAAAGGGTTGGAGATCATTAATTTATGTCAAACCTGTCATAGTAATAGTTTAGTCACAAACTAAGGTATTTTTAATGGCAAAAGTTAAATCCAAAATAGGAGGAATACACAGCTAGTACTCAAAACAAACTATAGAAGATAAAAGTGAATACCAGTAGAAGTATCATAAAAGGCAAAAATAGTTCCAAGTTAGTACACAGAGACTGCAACCCCCCTCTATCTATCCCCTTGGAGAAATTCGTAAGGCTAGTTAGTTTGAAGGAGTAGTTAAGCCCAAAAGAAAAATCCTAATGATGCTGAAAGTTTTTATGACCGACAGCCATGCTTTATCAAAACTCAAAAAAAAAAAAACAACCAGGGGGGAGGGGTGGCCTCGACAGAGTGACTTTGCACATTTGTCGCAATTGACACCTTCAGAAACCTATTTAGGGCTACTGACACTTGTGATGTTTTTAGTTTTGATAAAGATGGCTGTCAGTCATTGAAACTGTCAGCATCATTATGGTTTTTCTTTCAGACTATGCTTGAAGAACATTTGAATAGATACTCTATCTATCCTGTTCCCCTATTTCAGTACTTTGTTGTAATGCATATACCCCATACTTTCTCTCACTACCAAGACCAAAACATATGAAGCAAAAAAAAAAATCTTATGTATTGCAAACAAAAACATTTGGAGCAAAAAAAGATGTATTGGAAAGGGGACAGGCTATTGTTATCAAGATTTTTTTTTACTTGAAGCTCGACTAATGTCTAGGAAATTTCAGGGGATAGCTTTTTCTGTTTTTGTGTCATGTTTCTTTTTGGCAATGCATTTCAGACCAATAGTTGCTGTACTTTTTGTAAATTTCAGTACGACAGTTTGCAGACATCTGCCTGTTTTCAACTGCACAATACAAATGTCCAGTGGCCTCTTTAGAATCTGAGTACGTATCTGTCATGTACACTGTTTAAAAAAGCAACCTGAGTTTGATTTGAAATCACAAGTATGATTTCAGACCAAAACTGCACAACACGAAGTTCAATTACCACTTTATTACATCCATTTTACCTACAATTTGATTTGTTACTATAAACAAGATTTGAAATGTGTTTGGTTGTGCTGTTTTAGTGATCCTTTTTTATTGGCTGGGAAAAAGATTGTGATTCGTGGATAAATCACACTGCTGAGAGTCAATCAGATTGCAGGGATCACCAATGATTTCAAAACGGATGTAATAAATTAGTAAATTAATAAATAAATAATAATTGAGAGGTAGTTCAATGGATTCACTTAGTGGTCCTTTGTCTAACATTCCTGGTCAAATTGGAATTTGGAAGTGTTGGATTTGAGGGGTGGGGAAACCAGGTTTCCCTGAGGAAGAACCTTGCAGTGCAAGGAGAGAACTAACAGCTCATCCCATATATGGCACCGACGCCAGGATTTGAATTTGGGCCGAAAATTAGTGGAAGGAGAGTGCTCTCAACACTGCTCCTTTTTTCCCCCCCCCCACCCAATATATGACTATTACATTATTTTACTTGTTTAGTTGGAGAGTTGCACATACCATACAGACAAGGCTAACCTGCTGTTCGTTAGTGCATGAAGGTGTTTCATTTAGCTTGTTAAATGTTTCAAGTGTTCAGATCATGTTACAAGACAAAATTAAATTCAGATTAATCTTTTTTTAACCTAGGTTGGTTCTCTATTTGCTTTGTCTGCTAGCGCCCTAATTCATGAATAATTTTATTAGGACTAGGAGACAAAGGAAGTTGGGAATTACCCCACGTTAAAATAGGTTAACGTGAATTTCATTTTGACCTGTAACAGGCACAAAGGAAAGAGGTACAGTAAATTTTCCTTGTAACTGACTTTTAGTCCCAGATCAAACATTGAACTCCACATGACTGTACAGGTCCATCCTCAAGGTAATGGGAAAAATCTTTTGTTCTGTGTCACTCATTAATGTTAAGTTCATAACATGTGAAGTTCAATGTTTGATCCCAGCCTTAGAGTAAAAGTGTTCAGTATTAATTTTGTGTTATTTTTACATTGTTTTATTTTTGCGTAGAGATGGGTTTCCAGTTGGACAAAGTGGTACTTTATCAAAAGTTTATCGCCTGACACCATTACTAACCAACAACAGGGTAAGGATGCCTCTTCTTGCATGTTATTATAATAAATTATCATAAACTATCATAACATTAAGAAGAAGCGCTACGTGAGTGTTTTAGTTAACTGCATGTTTAATCAGAAACAACAAGCTACAATCGGCGACAAAATTGTTGAGACTTTGTACTCAAATAAGGTAACTTTGGAGAACAAAAGAATCTGCGCCCCTCCCCTGTTCCCTCCATTCAAAGTTGGGGTGTTTGTTGTTTTTTATAGGTAGCTCGAACATCGGCACAACATTGCATGGATAGGATGGAGGAGGAAAAGCTATATTTCCTCCTTTTGAAGTTAGTAAAAAGGTAAAGAAGCCCCGTGGTGTCTCAACTCATTTTGTTGCCGAATGTAGCTGCCCATTATTGCTGACACGTTTGGGATCATGAGTCAGTTTGTATTGAAGTAAGAGTCTTTATTAACAGGATCTGAGAGAAAATGTCTTTGACAACATTTGCATTACCAAGGGACTATGTTGTTTTCCTTAGTAGTGGGGTGTCTCTAACAGTGAAGTGTCCACAAGGCAAAAGTCCTCAGGCCAGGGGAAGGAGGGGGAGGTGGGCACTTGAGGAATGTTTGCTTCAGGTTAGGGTTAGAGATTATCCATCTGCTGAAAGTGTGTGTGTCTACAGTCAATTTTACAAGGTTCATACAGTCTTGAATTCTTGAAAAAGTCTTGAAATTTGCAAAGCAATTTTCCAGACCTGGAAAAAGTCTGGAAAATAGAGATAAAGTCTGGAATAATGGCAAACAGTCTGATCAACAAGAGCTTAAGAAGTGTATTTGTTCCCCCTTGGTCAAATCTGGCCCACAGCCGAGACATTCAATCAGATAATGAGAAGTTTCAGAACTTGCTTATTTCTGCAGTGCAGCGTGGTTACTTTACAATGTACCTTAGCGATGCATCATGAAAAAAGCTTGGTTCTTGTGTTTTTCAAGGTCTCTGTTGTTCACCTATATAATTTACAGGTATAAAGAAATAAACACTATATTTGTTCTTACAAAGTTTGTTGTACCATCCTTTGTTTCTTTTACTTTTGAAGGAGAAAAGAGGATTAGCCCTGGATGGACAACTTAAATATGAAGATACAAATTTAGCCTCTTCAACCATGTAAGTATGTAATATAATGTGGCATCCAGGTCCATATATCAATCGTGTACCTCTTAAATAATGATTTAGAAATAACAAATCCACTTAGTGTGTACCTGATTCCTGGTCGAATTGGAATTTGGAAATGTTGTTTTTGAGGAGAGGGGAAAACAGGAGTACGCGGAGAAAAACCTCTCAGAGCAAAGGGAAGAACCAACAACAAACTCAACTCACATAAATTATGATGTCGACGCTGAGATTTGAACCCAGACCATATTGGTGGGAGGCGAGTGCTCTCGCCACCCTTAAGATACTAACAACATCATTATTAGTCTCATTCAAAAGTATCGTCAGAGGTGTAATTTGAATGGTCACATCAGAAGATTTCTTTCACAGACTCAAAAGGTAGTACAAATCTTTTCGGTAGAAACTGCGCCATTGGAAAATTAGTACATGTAGCTTTTATTTAAGTTGTTGCGCTAAAGGATTTTTTCACAGATTTCCAAAGATAGAACCTCTTAGAACCACCTTGCACAGCAACGGTACCACCAAAAAGGGCTGCTCGGTAGCTTTTATGTGAATGCTCACAGCAATATTATTACAGCAGCAAAGCGGGCTCTGGAACTGATTTGGTTAAATTGGCTACTCCTCGGTTACCATACGAATCAGAAATATGGAAAAAAAATACCAAGTGACCTGAAAGTTGCAAAAGGTGAATTTTTCTTTCTAACTCTTGTACTGTTTCCTGTGTTGTAGAATGGATGACGATTCTCAGAAGGAAAACCTTGGTATAATAGTTCAGTATAAAGTGAAAGTGCGCGTTATAATGGCCTACGCAGGGTAAGAAATCATTTCATTTGTTATCTAAAACAGCAGGAAACACAATGCAAGTGCTATTTACGGTGCTACCTTTCTTTTCATCACTGTACTGGTCGGGCAAATCTTGGATGAGGGTCAGCGAACTAAAGAATTTTTAATAATTTTCATATTTTAATCCCAGAGGATCCTTTTTAAACATAGGGCACTGGGTTCAAATTTACTCCAACCAACAGGAGATTGAGTATACCCCACCTACCAATATTAGAGCCGCTGTTGAAACCTGCCCTCCCCAGTTACACAATTTACTCGAATTCTCTCCCGCCCTCCCACTTCTGACATTTTACGCCCGCCGAGCTTTGCGAGGTTCTGCGATACACGTATTTCTAGTAATTTTCATAATACTGTGGAAGCCCTCCACACGATCACTACATTATTCCGCCCATTTTTTGCCGGCTGCCAAAAGGTCCAATTGTTTCGTTATCTCACACCCTTGTTGATATGACCAACCTGTTAATATAATATGTGACACCAGCCTGTAAGTAAGACCAATGTCCAAACACTGTTAAGTCTTCTACGCCGGAGCTTCTTTGTGTCGCCACACAACGCTCCCCGCCCCCACCCCAGACTGCACAGGGGTCATAAACACTTTATTTTTAAAAACACTGTTGGATATATTTGTTTCAACAACTAAGCGATTTCTCCGATTTCGGTAATTGGTTGAGAGTTATGGTCTGTGAGAGTACACACCAAGGAAATGACGCGATGATGGCGCAAAGTTTTTTTCTCTTTGTCTACCGCTCTATTTTGCAAGAAACGTCGCCGGGAAAAGACCATAAAAATGAGGTCGAAGTGTTCAGAACTTTGCAGTAAAACCAGTCGCCTTCGGCTCATGGTTTCACTTAAGTTTTCAACACTTTGAGGTCCTCTCTCTAGTGTACTCAGGGAAAATAGCTGTTAATTAATTTTGTTAAACAGCAAAGTTGATAGTATCAATTTTCTTAACCAACAGGGATGTGACGCTGGAATTACCTTTCACTTTAAGTCATCCCAAGCCTGCAGAAGAAACACCTCCCCCCACACCCGTCCAATCGGCACCCTCAGAAGAGGCGGCGCCAGGTAAATACAACATACGTAGGGATGGGAGGGAGAATTTACTTTTGTTGTGATTGCAAACCATCTGCACCCCGTCCCACAACCACCGTACATAGCGGAGTTAGTAAATAACATGTTCATGGATTGGAGGGGAGTATCAACCACCTTTCCCCCGCCCCCTCTCCCAATTCTTTCCCACAGCAAACCCACTGAAGAGCTGGGCAACAAGTTGTAGTTGAATATACAGATACACTATTGTCTTTTTTTAACCATCTCCACCCCCCTCCCCCACACCATTGCAATAATCGTCGCCCATATGGAAGAAGGCAATATGGCTAATATATTCCAAAGGGATGAGTTCCCTGGTAGAGAACTGGGCTAGCAGGCCGATTGTCTCGTCAAGCAACGCTCCTCCCCCTCTTCTTCCTCTCTTGTGGAGAAGCGTTGCTTGACAAGACTAAAACGGCTGCGTTGAAAACTAAGAAGCAGAAGGACGTAGGTCTCGACTCCAATAGCCCATTTCACAGTTGTGGGCTTAGTTTCCTAGCCTTTGAGTGAACGTGAGGCTGAGGTTGAGCTTGTTTTGATACAAACCTCCTTCCTTTTCTACTGTAAATTTTGCTTGAAATTTACATGATAAAGCAGAAAGGGTTGTATCAAAACAAGGTCAACTCCAGCCTCGTTTCTACCTGTACATGAAACTGTAAAATGAGCTATAGAGTGAACTCGGAATTTTTTCCAAGCTGCCTGTTTCACTGATTTGAGAAACACTGTTCTCGACATATGGAGTGTTAATGTTATGGTTGTATATTTTGGTTGCGTTTTTAATTTTAAGTGTTGATTGTTGCTCTTTTTCAGTGGCTTCTGGTGATGTGCCTGCACAGGCTGCGGTTGATCACAATTTGATCGATTTTGATACCGAGTAAGTATCTTGTGGTCGTACTCGACGAAACACGCGCATTCCGTCGTTGGGTAACAAAGACCTGAAATTGGTCAATGGGAACCATGAAGTCCTTTTAGGGGGTTGTGGGGTGTGGGAACTCAAAGTAAAGGTATGCTGTCAGCTGGACCTTCAAACCCTGACCTTGTTTAAGGCAAAAAAAAACGTTCATTTAGCTTGTTCTCTTACTCTCTCACGCGCATTGATTATTTCGCGTCCCATACCGTAATCACTTGATTAAATGCCGCTCTCGATAATCGTCACAACCAAATCAACAACGTGGCCTTTATTTGGGGACTATAAGAAAAAACTCGGTACAACTTTGTAATCTACGCCATCCAGACTTTTACGATTCTATCCCAGTGAGTGAAGTGCGGGATTCTTTCTGTTCCACATCATATTTGCAAATGGTTTATCGTAATTAACCATTTTCACATGACCATAATGCACCTTAACTACACTCCCCTTAAAAAATGCATAATAGAAGGAAGTTGGAAACAATGGTTATGCAAAATTTGGAGGGGTAAACAAATTATAGTCTATGTGAAAATGGTGAATTGTTTTGTCCGTGATTTAAGAAATGTTATTATTCATTCAAAATATTTTTCCGTTTGTGAGTGACTAAACTCCCACGCATAATTCATCATAACCAGCAATTGTCGACCAAATTTGAAAGAATTTTGTGATATGCAAAAAATGACGTCAATCGTGTAGCAAAATTGCCAGATTATGGAACCCGTTAACCGACAAGACTTGGGCACAAGGTTGAGTTGTTTTGGTAGTGACTACAAAATGGCGGAACATTTCACTCGTTCCACCAGAAAGAAATAGGCGAACTATTGGCTAAAAACATAGCACGAACAGCAAGAACGCAACTCGACGGACTACATCCGCTATTTGGCGAACACTTGCAGACCTGAACAACCCTTCATCTCCTAATTTTGCCGATAAACATGAACTTAACATTGATGAAGGTAAGCATGTTTTAGCTGTTTTTTAAACTTGGAATTATTTTGAATGAATAATAAAACAATTATTGAATTCGTCTTTCGTATCATTTGAAGAATTATGGAGATCTCAGAGGGTGTTATCGACCCTCCTCGATCTCTGTAATTCTTCAGATGATACTCATCCTTATTCAATAATTGTTAATTATTTTGAAATACGCACCGCCCTCAAGTAAACGCCGCATTGGAAGCTCTAAACAGTAAACAAACGCCGCAGCGTTTAATCGAATAAATACAGTATTTCTTTTGTGCGCGCCACGCAGGGTACCTAACCTTCTCTTGGTTGAAAAGGTGGCGTATTTTTATTCCACTGAGTCATAGGACTACCAGTTTTTACGATTTAATGAGGAATCATTTCTGTCTTAGTGGACCTGATAAGCACGAAGATGATGATCTTATTTTTGAAGACTTCGCAAGACTAAGGCTCAAAGAATCCGAACATCTCGGAAGCACAGACGCCTGACAAATACACCAATTTAATTCACAAGAGAAAACAAGAAGGGTTAATCCCAGAGGATGCTGTGTGCAAAGGAAAATAGAGACGCCCTAACAAAGAGCAATTTGTGCAGTTCCAGCAAGATAGGGATTTTGAAAATTTAGCATTTGCTTTCGGTGAAAATAATGCTCGACTCGCTACTTTAAAAACAAGAGGGAACTGGGCCGAGTTAACTTTCGCAATGACTTCTGGGACTGTTACTAGCGTCACGTCGCCAGTAGCGATCCCAGAAACCATTGCGGGACACATTTTGGCCCCAGTCCCTTTCTCGTTTCTAAAGTGGCGTATCGGTTGTTTGCGTAGCATTGTTTCATGTTGGGACAATGTAAGCAGGATCTCTAATGATGCAAAGCTATTTCCGCATAGGCCTGTTATCATTGTTAGCCTCCCTCGCAGCTGTTTTTGTCATGTCACGCAACGTTCCTGGGGAGGAGTGTTGCGTGACGAGACAAAAACGGCTGAGAGGGAGACTAGCTACGGGGCTGTTCGTTGTTTACTTTCGTTCCTTTTTTCGAGTCTTTGTTCCTTTGTATATGGTGTAGCCGAAGGGGTCTGAAAACGATCCCGAGCTTTAGAAGTCTCTATTTCTCCGCCTTCATCTGAAAGGGTATTTATAGACGAGTCAATAGTAAGGAATATTCTAATTATTATATTATTGCAATATATGTCATAAAACAGTACTTTAGCCAAATAGAAAAATGAATATGTCATCTGTCAATAACTGACTTGCTGACTGAAGCTGGTCGACTTTGACTTTGATTTCAATGTTGTGAAACTTTTTTCCTTGGAGTATCGTGACGTCGAAATTATAACGGTCAAGTGCTTAGTCATGATAGCTGCTTTAGCTCTTCTATTTTAACACTTACTTCTCACTTAGGGCAAAATGTTGCCTTAGGGGAGGGGTAGGTGGGCAGTTTCCCAGAAACCCCAGTTAACTGATTGACATTTCCTTAGGCCAGAAACTAATATGTACAGTTGTATTGCTGGTTATTAGCAGATAAACCTTTTCACTCTCAGAGGGAATGATGGAAACTTTTAAGGTGGCTCACTCTAACTTTTGAGTCTCTGGATGAAATCCTATGTTGTTACCATTCAAATGAAACCTCTTCAGTAGTACTTTCACATGGTACATGGATCATACTGTGCCATTTCATTAGTTGCAGAGTCAATTCTTCTGTGAGACGGACGCCTACGGAATTGGTCTCCGCCGCTTTTTTTGCTTTTCCTACAGTCTTTTGTCACCCTGTAAGAAAGGCGGACACCTCCAAGACAGACAATTGGAGCTCTATTCGGAAACCTTAAGTCAACTGGCGTTAAGTGACGCAGACCTCATTCGTATCAAGCTAGACCTGAGACATGTTTTGTCTCAAAAACTTTCCGTGCATTCATGTGAAGTTTTTAGGAAACAGTTTTGATCAGAAAACTCTTTGGAGGGGCGTCACCTTACTTGGGAGTAAATTGAAACTTCAGTAGGGGCATTAAAGGGATGTACCTGAAATTTCTGCATTCAGGCTGGGGTGTCTGTATTGCATTGTAGAGACAGATTGTATGAAAACAAAAGAACACTGTTAGTAACTGAAAGGTGTTTGTATTATGAAGATGTCCGTAAGTAGAGGTGCAACTTTTTCGTACTAGAGAGTGATTAAAGAAAGGCCTTTAAACAGATCTCTCTACCGGTCCAAGGGACCGGTCTCAAAGTTACTCGTCTTACGGAGAGTTTACTGTTTTAGGGAAAGCTTTACCAGTACCGCTTTTAAGCTGTAATCGAATCGCTAGAATCAAAGCCTCGTTTAATACAGCTGAATTGGTATTATGCTTGTTAGTAATAGCCATATATAGGTCAGTGACACTTTCGGGCGAACGAAAATGAAATTGTAAAAGCTTGTTCAACGAAGCCTGAGTGTCCTTATCCTGCGAATAGAGCCTCCTTTCATTGCTTCCCGTCCCAGCGACGAGGAGCAATGAAAGGCGGCTGTATTCTCAGATTGAGGTGGCCTGTGAGCGACCTTTACTTCTCGGGACTTGGAATTCGGTGCGATCTGTAAAAGGTCAAGTGGAGTCACTTCGCTGGCTTCGGTGCTCGTGAGTGACGGCCTTTAGTACAAACTTATTATCTTATTGCAGGATACTGTACTGAGGCTCGTCAAGCTTTAATTTCCTGCTAGTTAAAGAGCTGGAAATACTTAGTTAAATTTTACCCGGAAATACTGATTAAAAATGTATAAAGATGTATCTTGTTGAAGTTGGACGAGAAAGAGAAAATTCCTCCCATAGTGCGTCTCTTGTGTTTTTTTTTTTAGCTTCAGTGGTTGTGAGTAGTGGTAAGTAATAACCATTACTATAAGTATGTACTAAAACAGTGGATAGTGTTTTTCGCGCGCTCTGATTGGCTACTCAATCAGTGACTATCCTGCACTATTCACTGATTCACCTCCAGTTCCTCCGAGCGAGCGACTCCAAACTCGCG